CCTTTCCACTACCACCACCACCATCACAATTCTCCACCTCCACAACAACCACCCTCTTCTTACCTCTACCACCATCACAATTAGTGTCATGGCCATCACCACTACTACTATCACTATTAGCGCCACAACCACTATTACAACATATAAATTAGAAGATAAAATTTAAAAATAATAAATTTCAAATTTTATATTATACATATCAAATAATTTGTTTTAATTTAATAGTTAAATTTTTCATCAAACAATTTTTTTCTTTTGAAATTTTAGTATTAAGTTACAGTAATGTAGTTTGGTAGTGGTTTACAATTTATTATTTGTTGTTTATAAAAATGTTAAACATGTTTATGATTATTTACAAATAAATAACCATATGTAGTATAGATTTTTTAAAAATTTTGTTTTGAAAATAAATTAGAAGGATACCGCGCCGAAGGTGGTTTTCTACAAGAGATGGTGGCCAATGGGGCAAAGATAATGGCGGGAGCTTGTTATAAACAATTGAAAGTGAAAGTCAAATGTGGTTTAAAACAATATGTGGTGGCTAAAAGTAGTTGCCATCGGGTGAAAAGTGATTGGCAACAATCAAAGGTGGCTGCCGATCACAAGAGTAGTGGCTGAAGGAGGTTATTGGTAACGACAGGAGATAGTGGTGATGGGTAGTGGGTGGTGGATAGAAAGGTAGGAGAATAAAGAGGTGTTTAGGGTTTTTTTTTTAGATTTTTTTTTTTTTTTTTTTGTAAAACAGAAAAAAAATAATCGATATTTGTCTTTAATAATGATTGATCCCCTAATCAAACTTAGGTCATGTTTGATTGTTGATTTGTTTATCTTGAGTGAATTTGTTACGACCCAAACCCGCCCCTATAGGTTTAGTGTCGTAACTAGCCAGTAATTCTGGGATTACCAAAGGCCTTTGACCTGAATATCACATAATATAAGAGGCTGCGGAAGCAAATATATACAGATATAATGTTCATAGAGTTGTGTAGACATACATGGAATGAAAATTTAAAACTTAGATACATAAGAGTGATGTCATATATATACATTAGTCGTACGTCACCAAACTCACATATACAGAACTTACAAAACATGTTTGGACAAAACATAAGAAAGTACAAAAGTCCCAAAGACTTGTTTCTCATAAACTTGATCTGATCTCAAAAGGGAACCTCCTCAGGAGGCACAGTGGCTAGTTGAGCCAAAACTCTCCAGGTAACAGCTTAGGCCTGGTCACATGTCTGCTCACCTGCATACATAATATAAATAGTAAGTGAAAGCCTAGTGAATAATAACAGAGTAAGGGTTAGATGAATGATATCTCATAACTGATTCAGAAAGTAGAAACAGATCCATATTCTCATTCAGAGTTCAGAACACATGTACCTATTCAGTTTCACAGAGGATCATATATGGTACACTCAGGCCCCGTTTGGGGACTTATCTTTTTAGCCAAAAAGCCAAAAAGTTACCCTTTTAGCCAAAAAGCCAACAACTCATACCAAAAAGTCAAAGATTCTCTTTTCTCTCTACTTTTTGCACATCTTTTCGTAATTAGCCAAAAAGTCATCCCAAACATATAAGTTTTTTTTACCTACTTTTTTAGCCAAATAGCCAAAAAGTTACTAAATTAGCCTGTTCCCAAACGAGGCCTCATTAGCGCTAACACATCATGTATAGAGCATCAAAGGTCATACTTAACTAGTTTCATAAAGAAACCTTCGGTACTGGGAACTTGTAACATACTTGAGCCACGGTATTGTTACCTCCGAGCCATGAGACCATGGTATTGTTACCCCTGGGCAAGGGCCTTGTGCTCATAGACCACGGTATTATTACCCGGGGGCTAGGGTCTTGTGCTAAGGATGCCACAAATACTTTCAATAAATGGACAATCATTCATTGATTCAGAAAATAACATCACAAAAAACAAATCATTTCTTGTCATATCGTATCATATATGAAATTACTTAAACGTAAATATAGTTTTACAAAGTTATTGCTCACAGATGGCTCCAAAGTAAACAGACAGAGCAGACAAATCAGATAGCTTACGGCGCGTGACCTACACAGATATAAAACGAATACGTACTAAATTACACACCCAGAATCATTAACTTTGTTCTTTTTTATCTTGGTGTGTTTCTACTACTTATCCTCATTATTATGTCTTAACCATGACCTAGAAATGTCTAAGATGCAATGTGGATACCAAAATGCACTTTGAAATACTTAACAAAATTTGCTGAAAAACAGGGCCTTTGTTCGAGCGCAACTTCTTTTTCTTGAGCGGAGGCTAAAAAATGTGAGCAGCCGCTCGAGCGCAACTTCGGTTGCTCAAGCGGTCAGTAAATTCTGCAAAAGTACTAGTTGCTTGATTTTTCTGCTCGACGCACGCTCGACAGTCGCTCTAGCGTGAGACTGAGGTCTTTGCTCAAGCCAACTCTTGTCACTCGAGCGGTCTGCAAAAATTGTGAACTTCTGAGAGCATGTATTTTACATTCGAGCCAACTTTTGGTTGCTCGAGCAGAAGTGCAAAACACGGCGTGGTCGCTCGAGCGCAGGTTCTGTCGCTTGAGCGAAGAGACAGAATCAAGAATTTCCATATTGCTCTTCCAAGTTCAAAACTCAAATTCAAAGTTGCAAATCATGGTCTTTTGGACCAAAAAATTGAGGAAACACTTGTAAACTAATAAAATATGGTGAATTCAAAATCATTTCGCAAAATTAAACCCAAAAACTTTGTCAATTGTTCAAAACTCAAACTTGAAATTGTGAAAACATATCATTACATATCATGCATGTAAAGATGTAAGTTCAAAGCTTTCAAAATATAATCAAATGAGACAAATTGATGGAAAACAAGATGAATTCTCAAAACTAAGGTAAAATGATAACATACATGGGAGAATTCTTTGAAAACTTTCTCAAGATGCCATGACATATATATGTATGCATGATACACTCCCATATTTATCTTTCTAAGCTCAATTATAGCATTACATAACTTAATTCTTTGAATTCAAGGGTTAAGCGTCTCAATTCCAAAGCCCAAAGGTTGAATTCTTACCTTAAATGATCAATGATGCTCTAAATGATCAATTATTTGAAGTTCCAAGCTAGAAGCTTCCAGGTCTCTAGCAATCCTCTTAATTTGAGCTCAAACTCTTCTTCTTTCTCTCTACCACTTTTAGAAGTCTCAAGGATGAAGAAAAGATGAGTCTAAGTGGAGTATAAGCCTTATATAAGCTCAATTAATGAAGCTTACTTAAGTTGAGTTAAAGATGACTAAGTGGGATCAATTTTATTCTAATTTATTCGTTCCGAATCAAATTTTAATTATACCTACCATAAAATTCTAAAATCCCAAATAACACATAAATCAAGTCAATTTCATATTCGGATGCCGATAAAGCCTTCAATTCACATAACCAAACAGAAACATGAACAGATATTCCTACGATAGACAAATATGATTACAAATAATGCAACACACATGCAATTAATTTAGAATTTCATCGTAATTACTTATTAGGAATCTTTAATCATGGTTTCGCAGTTAATCATAGATCGGAGTTGTTACAGAATTTCTTTTAATTTTTTTAAAAAAATGTATAAGCTTTTAGGCGAATTCAAAAAATTAGATTAGAACCCCCCCCCAAAAAAATGGATTTTTTTAAAACTTATGTTGGCTTTTTAATTTGTTTTTAGAATTTTTTTTAAAAATTATTTTTTGGATTCGCCTACACAAGAGATATTGAAAAAATAAAAAATAATTTTTGAAAAAAGTCACTAAAGGCAAAAAAAAAAAAATCAAAAAAGGAGATGGCTTATATAGCTCATCCCAAACATTTATTAAGAAACAATTCTGATTTAGAGTACTAAATCGGCAGCTCTAAAAGCACCATTAACGAACTGGCAACCAACAAGGCAAAATGAAGAACATTTGCATATACAGTGCGTGTGTTTCACGCACTGTGTAAAAAAAAAAATTAGAAATCCTGCTCAAATGTAAAATAGAGGTATTGATGTTCCATTTTCAAGATCTATTTCAGCTCTACCAGCTATAGATCTCTTCTCCGCCATCTTTCTCCTCTACCGTCCAGCGTCTTCTCCTTCCTCTACTGTCCGACATTCGCTGTCTTTCTCCTGTATTTTCCCTCTCTCGCTCTGAATCTACAGATCTGTCGTCCGCCGTCATTCTCCTCCACCATCCTCCATCACTCTGCTCCATCGTCCGACGTCTTCTCCCTCCTCTACCATCTGGCGTCTTCCTCCAACTTGGACTCCCACTCTCCTCCAGGTCAGTTTGTCTCTCTATTTTATGTCCTTCTCTGTTTCAATGTTCTTATAACTAGTTAAAGGATTTTTTATTTTTCATGCCTTATCTCAATGGTCCATCATCCTTGCTCTTATGCCTTTGAGACGACAATTCTATCCTATATATTTTTTTTTTCTTCACATAAATGAATTAAAGAGAAGCATCAAAAGAGGTTTAAGGATTCAAATTATTTTTTCTAAAGGCTGGAGATCTCTCTTTAATGAGTTTTATTTTTCTGTACCCTCTTTGAATACTGAAATATGAATTTTGTTACTAAAACTGTATAATTCTAAGTTACAATTCTTCGAGTTATATGAAGTTCTTGAAATTTTGTTAGGGGAAACCCCATTCTATTTTCTATTTTACCATATTTGTGGAATATTGATTTCTAGGTTTAAGATATGCACATTGATCTAGTAGTTATTGACAAATTGCCTTTTGTTTTTTAGATTTTGAGTTGTTTGGAAATTGTAATCAAATTTCAATACCAAAGCTTGCATCATTAATTGATTTTTGGAAGAAAAAAATAATATTGAAAGGGTACTCCAGAGCTGTTTTTTAATACCAAAAAAATTTCTTTTCAAAAGCAAAACTCATTCTGTTTTTTAGACTTGCATTGTTGATGAAGAAACTGTAAATGGTTGATGAATATTGGACTGTAATTTTTTAATGAGAAGAAATGGAGATTGATTCAAATAGTGGGGAGAATTCTTTATTAAATGAGAGTGAAAAAGTTGAGGAACCTAAGAGAGATATGTGTTTTAGCTCAAAGCAAGAAGTGTACACATTTTATACCAAATATGCTAAACATGTTGGATTTTCCATAGCTTATAAAACACAAGTTTGTGGCGATGATAGGGAATTAAGATATTTTGGGATTGAATGTTCTCGATTAGGAAAGCGAACCAAAAAATTAGAAATAAACCCTCTAAAGCCATCTCTGTCCACAAAAATTGATTACAAAGTAAGGGTACGAGTGACCTTACAAAAGGATTGGAGATTTATGTTAACCACAGTTAACCTTGACCATAATCATGACTTGATTCCTACCGATTCATGTCATTTTGCAATGAATAAGAAAATTCTTACTCTTGTGAAGAAAAGATTAGAAATTAATGATCAAGTAGGGATTGGGGTGTCTAAGAATTATAACTCCATGGTTGTTGAAGCTGGGGGTTATGAGTCATTAACATTTGATGAGCGAGATGCAAGGAATAACATTGACAGAGCTAGAAGAATGAGGCTTGGAGAAGGAGATGCCGTTACACTTCAAAAATATTTTTTGAGGATGCACGCACAAAATTCGAGTTTCTATTATATGATTGATGTTGATACTGACTTTCGCATTAGAAACTTGTTTTGGGCAGATGCAATGAGTCAAGCGACTTATGAAGAATTTGGAGATATTGTTTCATTTGACATAACTTATCTCACTAACAAATATGATATGCTATTTGCTTTGTTTATAGTAGTTAACCACTATGGACAGTTGATTTTGCTTGGTTGTGGGTTGTTATCTAGTGAAGACACTGATACATTTGTTTGGTTATTCAAAGCATGGTTAAATTGTATGTCAGATTATCCTCCAAAAGCTATAATAACTGAAAGCTATGCAAAATGTTATAGAAATTGTCTTCCCAAATACTTGACATCGATGGTGTTTATGGCATATAATGAAGAAAATTCTGGAGAAATTGAAAGGCCATTTCCAATATAAATCCATGAAGTTGGCTTTCCAAAATGCAGTGTATGACACGTTCACAAAAGATGAATTTGAGATGAGATGAAAAGAGATGATTGTAGAATTTAATCTTTATGAGAATCAGTGGTTTGGGATACTATATGATGAGCGACATCAATGGGTTCTTGTCTATGTGAAAAACATTTTTTTAGGCTGGCATGTCAACTACACAACGAAATAAGAGCATGAATGTTTTTTTTTTTTTTTTATGGCTATGTCAACCTAAAAACTACATTAAAGCAATTTGTTGAACAATATGAAAATGCCTTGAAAAGTAAAGTAGAGAAAGAGAAGAAAGCTGACTTCAAGTTTCGACACAAAGTGTTTCATTGCCTAACTGTGTATAGTTTTGAGAAGCAATTTCATGATGCCTACACCAATGCAAAATTCAAAGAAGTGCAAGTAGATATGAAGAGACTAGTTTATTGTCAGTCGTGTCTTGTGAAAGAGGAAGGTTCAATTTGCACATATTTTGTGAAGGAAGCCATGGTAGTTTTTGGGAAGATGAAGCATGTGGACTTTATTGTGCGTTATAATTCGACTGAATTTGATGTTCAATGTATGTGTCAATTGTTTCAATTTAGGGGCATCATGTGTGCTCACTCACTTGTTGTGCTCATTGCAAGATGCATAAATAAAGTTCCAAATAAATTCACTCTACCATGATGGAAAACAGATTTAGATTGAGGATACACATGCATCAAAACCACATACATTGGCTTTGAGAATGATTTCAATGCAAAGGTCTATGATAAGATGGATAAAAAAATTGATTGGCATTGTACAAGTAGCTAGGAACTCTGAAGGCAAAATCAAAGTTATCGACCATGGGTTGGATGAAATCAAAGCAAGAGTAATGAAAGATGACGAGGATGGTGGGAGTAATGTACCAGCTTCTACTAGTTATGTACCACCTATTACTAGTAATGTACCATATTCCCCGATTAGGAGCATTAATAGAAAAACAATCAGTAATACGAAGTTGCTTAGTCCTTTTGTTGCTCGCGAAAAGGTCGTCCAGTTACCAAATGAAAGGTCGCCAAAGTAGATCAAATATTCAATCGGTTGAAAGCAAGCAGCACAAAACATAACAAATCAAAGGTAAATTTCGTAGTATTCTCTATTTATTTTTTAATATTGTATCATTTCTCTCTATTGAACTTATCATTTATCTTTATTCATTCATTTTGATTAATATAGGGTACTAAGGTGCTTGGAGCTCAAGCTTAATCTTAACCTCAGCCTAGTGCACGTAGAGAGCTTTATCCTTGTATGGTTGGCATGCAAAATAGTATGTATGTGTCGGTAGGAGTACATAATATGAATTTGCATCGATCAATTAATTTTATTTTTCATGAGTGTGTATTAAACTATTTTTTCATGTCATTGTAATTCAATAGGGACAAATGGTAAATGCGATTGGAGGCACACCAGAAAGTATGGACATTATGAGAAGACAAACTTTGATGACTGCTCAAACTCAGATTTATGGAGTCGACACATCTCTTACCCCATCGGAATGCATTAGAGGCACACCGGGAGTTATTGAAATAATGAAAACTCAACAATCCATGAGTGCTACGAATCAAATTTATGGAGTCGTACCATCTTATTTTGTTGACTTCAATGTACAAATGGACCAAAATGAGTCTCGTTTTCATTAGTTGGAAATTTGTAATTTTAATGCATTTTATGTGACTTAACTTGGAGTTTATTTTGTAGTGGGAGTAATTTAATGTATCTTTCTTTGTTACTTGATGCATTTTAATGCATTTGTTGTCTAGCTGTATACAGATGTGGATGGATTGGTCTTCTTTGGAAATGTTTTAAGTTGCAGGATTGAACTTGGAGCTAGCATGGTGTGTGTTGGTTTATTTTTGTTGTGCTTTTGATTTGGGTTTGTGAAGATGTTGTTAAAAATCTATGCAAAATCTGATAAAAATCTGATTTCAAATATGTGTTCCAAATCTGTGTTCAAAATGTGTGTTAGTGCCGTTAAAAATCTGTGTTGAAAATCGGTTAAAAATATGATTTGAAAGAATCTGTGTTGAAAAATCTGTGTTTGTTAAAACTTTGTGTTCAAAATTTGAAAGTTCTAATCAGAATTTGTGTTGAAACAGACAAGTAATGTGTGTTCAAAATTTTCTGAGAATAGCTTTGAAAGAATATCTGTTTCATTGATCAGTGGATTTTTCATCTTATTCGTCATACTTGTAAATTATGCCAATTAACTCCGAAAATAAAACAAACAATCCACATGATTACATCTTCATACTTCTAAAAAATAACTGCAATATATTATAAATCTTCATACATATTATCTATTTCAACTTCTAACTTGCATATAATTTATTACATCTCCATAACTAAGACAATACCAATTACAATTACAAGAAAGATGAAGATCCCATAAATACAACATCAACTTCGATTTATGTCTGTCAGCAATTTTTGCATCTGCGCGCTCTAAAATTGAAGTTGTTCACTTTGAAATCGAAGTTGTTCAGTGACAGTTGGTATATTGTCCATTTGCACTTGTCCTCCATCTCTACATTGTGAATTTGTAGGCAAGCACCATCTAATAAAACCACCGCAATCACGACAACAATCAAATAACTTGTTTTTGTTTCGCTCCGTCTCAGAAATTCGAATAGTTGTTTTTTTTCCAACATTTAGGACAATTTTTGTTGCAATATGTCAATTAATCTGAGGTACTGCTGTTAACACTTGAAGTTGACATCTACAAAATTATGAAGCCAAATTTTACTAATTTAGACAACCTATGTAACGCCCTCAAAATAATACATAAAACCCATTACTTTAGACATGCATTGATATAAAAGAAACCAACCATTTCTATTCATCAGAGTAATTCTTACAACTGTATTACATGTTAACAACAAAAGCAAATGCCCTATGGGCTTACAGCTTTCCAAGTCAACACCTGATTACACAAAAGAAGAGTACTAACTCTATACAAAATAGCCCTTGGCTTGATATACATGTAATACAAACAAAATGAACAAAAGAAAAAGAGTCTTCAACTCTCATCATCATCCAAGCTATGTTCTTGGGGGTGGCATACTACATGTACCTGAAAATAATGTCCCATAAAGGGTGAGCCAAGGCCCAGTAAAGATATGCTAAACACAGTATGAGCAATGACTAAGACATTAGCAATTGATAAATGTTCAATTTCCATAAACCAATTCATAACCCATTTCCATTTTCATGACCACCATGTTCATGTTTCATTTCAATATCCATTTCTTATCAATTTCACAATTTACATCAACGGCTCAGAACCTGGCCAAACCACTTATATGAGACAGCGACTCATATTAAACATTTCCCATTTTTACGATAGATAAACATACTAGTTATATCAACATCTCAACAGATAAGCATACAAGCTGTATCCACATTTCAACAGATATGCATATTAGCTATATCCACACTTTCAAAGATAAGCATATGAGCTATATCAACACTTCCAAAGATAAGCATATGAGCTATATCAACACATTATCTGACAAGCATATGAGTTGTATCAGTGGAGTCCATCCCCTATCTTCTCCCAAACAACATCCGGTTTAGAGGTCCATTCCCTATCTTCCCCTAAATTGTGGAGTACATCCCCTATCTCCTCCCACACACACAACGTATATACACAAAGGTCATATACACAATCAATCAATACATAACGTTAATGTATTCTATCAACCGTCATACTCTATGACATATCCAATTGATTAGTTTTAGTTTGCCTAATCATCATGAATTGTCTACAACAATCAAAACTATCCTCCACCGGTAGCCCAAGCAATTATTTCTAAACAGATAATAAAAGCTCCAACAGATAAAATATCAATGTTTTCAAAAGTGAGCGATTAATGAATCTAACTCCACTATTCAACCATATAATGAACCAATTTCATTATTTCCAACTCAATACCATAAAGTCACAATTTTCCCAAAATTAGGGTTTTCCACCCGATTTCCAAATATTGACCCAATGGTCTAAATATCAACAACCAACAGCGATATTATTATTTTGAACCCACAATACATATTTTTAACTCAAAATAGCAAATCCTCTTTTAATATTTTGAAACCCTAAGTCCCAAAATTAACCCAACTTCAACACTTTATCAAAACAACCAAAAAATCTAGGTCAAAGACCATAAGAGTGAGTAGGAATCCCTACCTCAAATTCGGAGCTTCAAGGAAAGAAGGTGAAAAAACTCAACGTGCTCCAAAACTCAATATTCTCGGATCAATATGTAGCCCTCGACGATCAACCCAACTTTTACAAAGGCCGAAGGAAACGAAAACACTCTAACTAAATCAAACCCTAGAGAGAATGAAGTTTATAGAGAGAGGAACTTTCAAAATGTCTTTTTAGAAAGTAAGAGAGAGAGAGAGAGAATGTAAAAAGTGATTTTAAAATGCCCAGCTGCCAACTGATATACGACATTCCCGCTCGAGCGGAGAACACAACGCTCGAGCATCAAGAATAAAAACTAGGTCCGCTTGAGCCCAAGACACAAGAATAAAGTACATCCGCTCGAGTGCGAAAACCAGTCCGCTCGAGCGTGGATTTCCCCCTCCCAGAACTTACACCAAAAAGTACTACCCGCTCGAGCGCCACAGCACCCGCTCGAGCGTAAGAATCACACCTGCAGAAGTTTTGCAGGGACACGAAAAAAAACTCGGAGCGTGCAATCTCCGCTCGAGCGCAAGAAGACCCGCTCGAGCGGACCTCCTAAAAACTGGGCAACAAAGAATTGAAACCAAAGCCCAACCAACCTGTAACAACTCTGCCCAATACATCCTAAAACTCAATCAAGCGGAATTAAATGATGACAACAAGGTATACCACCACCAACACCACGGAACCGAGTCCGGAATACAACAGGACAGTAAAGGGACAACCGAGATCGCTATAACCTCCCCCCCTTAAAGAATTTCGTTCC